CGTGGGCGGCCATCAGTCAGTGGCACGCGATGATGCAGAGGCTCAGGCAGCAGACCATGATGCAGAAGTTCAGGCGGTGGCGGCAAAGAAGCACAAGAGCAGCTGAAGGTCGATTCCTGAATGGTGCTGCTGACATTGGCGAAGGTTTTTCATTGCAGATTGCTGTTGAGGAGCCGCCGATGTTGCAGTGCTAGCACAGAGGGCCAAGGTTTTTTAAACGGCTGCTGGAGAGAGCTTTTGGCGAAGGTTTTTCATTGCAGATGCTGTTGAGGAGCCATGCCAGGTTTTTTTTGGCAAGCCAGAGGGCGATTGGAGGTTTTTTAAAGGCTGCTGCTGGTCACGACCTTGTTCTGGCTTTCACCCGTGGGAAGCCGAACTATCAAGTGATGCATGGCATTGGAGAAAGTAACAGTGGCAGGGGGAGGGGGAATAAGCAGTTGAGCATTCCAGAGCCTCAGTTGTGCATGTGTCAGGTTAAGAAAGTTTTTCAGGTCAATCGTGCATAGGTAGGGTCAGGGTTTGGAGACACGACGAAGGCCCAGGGTTCATCCCCAGGCTATCAGCACTAACCCAGGGCTTGTGATTACAATGCGTTTTGGTTTGGGGATCCACAGATTGTAATAAGAATATTAATAATCGGAACCTCCCTTCTTATCTTATTCTTTTGCGATTGTCTGAATGAACCGACTACTTATAGTAATAATTTCATAAAGCTTGGCATCTCAGGTTCTCCGATGGGCGATTGGCGATTGGCGGCTTCTCCTGCCTTGTGGAAACTCGAGGCCTTCGCCGAAGTCGGAACTTCCAGTTCATTCATTTTTTTCATTACTTATGGGCCATGGTATAGGAATTAGGTTTTGGGGGTGAAGTTGTTGGCGGACATTCGGATGCAGTTCGGCAGCCTGGTCAATGAATTGTTCAGCCACATGTAGCCTCGACAGCTCAGAAAGTCATGAGGAATTCGTTGACTCCTGCAGTCTTTGTAATCCATTCCAGGCCGAGCTCGGCATGGAGGTCCGGAACGTGCCAGATTCCTGGAGCCCCTCTGGTTGAAATCCGATGGCATTGTCTGTGTCTTTTCTTGGAGCGCTAGGCTGTGGCCGTGGCAGACTAGTGATGTCGTTTCAATGTCATTGTCATGGCTTAGGACTGATTAGGGAACCGGCTGGGCAGTTGCAATAGGATTTTCATTACAGCGCCGACACAGAACAAAGCTGAACTGAGGCTCGTGACCCATGCGGCTACTGCGGCATTGCATGTGGAGGCTGGACAAGTAAGCTGCACGGGGTTTGAGGACGGCCTGAAACCTTGAGTCTTTCTGACAAGTGTTGGCATTTGCTGAGTTTCATGCTGTACTTTCAGTTAGTCTAGTTTCCTCTTGCCATGACATGAACAATCAATTGCTTTCTGATGTGCTGCTGTCTGTGGGGTTCACGGAAGAGCTTGACTGCTCCAGGCTGGTGCTCGGCCCCGGGAAGCTGGAGGATGACTCCGTGGCAGGCTTTTTTAAAATCAACGGGCTTGTCTACTTAGTTTCTAAGGTTTTCTACACTTCTTTGGGTGCTTTAGTCTGAAAGGGTTCTGTAGTAACCGGGACGAAAAGGTAATTGACTAGCTTGATCGAATAGTGATCCATACTGCTATGCTTGGGAGTTCCTTAGTCTTTCGATGCTATGACAATGGCGGACACCAAAACATCCCAAAACTGTTCTACTTAAGCCAGGCCACTACTTTTGTAAGGTGCAGGTTTTATGGTATTCGACAAGGTTATTTAGATTTAGCGATTCTTTTTGTTGGAGCTTAATGCTCTTTTGGTTCTGGGGCACAACTACTACTTCATTATACAACCACAAATATATACGATTTGCCAGTGGGCTAGTGAACGGCCCATTTAACTTCCAAGTTACTATAAGGGCCGGCTAGATTGCAAAAAATGGGCTTCTGTCATGGGTTTCTGTCATGGTTTTGCCAGGGTTGCGTTTGCTCTTCAGATAAGCTAAGATTATATGGTGTTCAAGTTGCGGAAAGCCACATCGTTGCTTTCATCTGCTTGGGCCATTGCCAGGGGAGGCGGGGCTTAGGATCTGCGGTTTTCGTCGTTCGGAGCTTCGCCCTTTAACCGTTGAGTTGGGGTTTGGCGGCTTTTGGAGACTCGCCGCGACTGTCAGCCACCCGTAAGGCTAAAAGCCCTGAGCCTAAGTCAACTGGGAAGGTCTTGCCTCAGTCGTGTAGCCAACCGCTGTAGCGAGTTTTCATCCCCCAATAAGCAGGGCAACGTGTTCAGAGTACTGACCCCAATAAAGAAAACTACTTCAGAGTGTTCATCCCCCAATAAGCAGGGCGACATGCACATAGTACTAACCCTTGATAAAACACAACTACTTCAGAGTGATCAACTGTCCCAATAACCCGGGGTTCATGCTTGAAAGCACCTGCACCTTCCAGACTCCGACTTTGAAAAGAAACTTACAAAAATTAAGCACCCAAGGCTTTTGGCGGAGATGAGGCGATGTCCAAAGAAGCGGAGTAGCAGTGGAGCTCACTGTGTCCGTGGGTGGGGCCCATGTGAAGCTTCTTGGCACTTTAGTTGGGGTTGTGGTCAGGGTCCAGGATTTGGGGTTTCGGCTCGGGTTTTGACAACTTCGGGGAAGAGGAAGGCAGATGACGACAACCGCCTCCGCTTAGAGAGTGTAATGAGCCTGCAGGGGCCGGGCTCCGATGACCCGCTGTTTAGAGCTGTGCCACGTAGCCAGTAGCCTGATCTCATTTTTTCAGCTCATGCCTCCCTCAACCCCGAAACACGCAAGCCCCCATTGCCAATGCCCTATAGCATTTTGAATTCTCACAGTTCTACAGCCCCACACTGGGTTTTTCCCTTCCGACTCTGCCCCAGGGAAAAACCCCCGAAAGCTCTCCCCAAGGGCCCCGAATCGTTGTTGAGGGCCTCGAACACCACACCACACCCCCACCCTGTCAAATTAGTTAATTTGACAAGGCTCTTTTCGGAGCGAAGTTGGCTAACTGAAGTAGAGTCGTCCCTGGGCAACAAAGGTAAGGAGCCTCTGCTACTCCGTCTGTCACCTGGACTCGTCGGAGGATGTGCTGCTGCAGTGCAGATATATGTGGACTGTCCTATTTACTCATCATCCTCGGCAAGGGTTTCGTGGGCATCGCATCTCCTCGACCGGTAGCACCATTTCCTAGGAATTCCGTGTGCTGCTGTGCAGAGTGACACAGGCAAGGCCAGACTTATAAACAGCGGCGATTGCTTCGGGGCTTGGGCTTTGCGAGCTGTGTTGATGCCCGATGCTCCTGCTCAGCCAATGTAACATCCAAAGAACATTTGAGGCTCGGGCCGAATTGCAGCCCAGTGTTGCTGTGTCAGAGTCCTAGGTCCTAGTAGAGAAGGAAGTGCGAAGCCATTGCCTTGCCTGGGTTGCTTCCTGCTCCTAGGGGGGTCGGGATACCATGGGCAAAGATAAAAGCGCCAAAAAAAGCGATGTCAAGAAGTCGAAGCAGGCCAAGGCATCGAGTAAGAAGGACCTGAAAAGCAAGGGCAAGAGCGAGAAGAAGAAGAAGAAATCTTCTTCCGCGGACGACTCCAGCAGCAGTGGAAGTTCTTCGGATGCCAACCCCCAGTTGGAGGAAGCCAAGGAGCATCTTCTTACAGTGGGCATGGCCTTTGGATTGCCTCTCGTCTGCATTTCAGTCCACTTCCATCCACGTGTACTGAATTGTTTCGTTGTGTCGCTATCCCAGGAAGCAGAAAGACCTCCTTCTGAACAAGCAGAAGTGCCATCTCCGAGACATCACGGCTTCCCAGTTGGCGACTATCCTCGTAGGAATTGTCCCAATTTTGACACCGAACGCAGTGATGAAATTGGGAGGCGATGTGGTTCAAGTTGCTTGGCGGAGTAATTCTGTGCATCTGTGTACTGGCTCTCCTTGATTCCTGGATGCCGCTGCTGCATGAACAAAGTTTTCCATCCGAATGACGAATGACTGCTGCAGTGCATGAAGCAGCGAGTCACTGAAGATCCGGTGCGAAAGTGTTAAGTTCTCCAAGCCTCCTGAGGGCGATAGCCTATTAACCTTTGGAGCCTTTTCCTGCTCCCAGGTTCGCAAAAGCCTCACGTTCCAGGCCAAGTCGGTGCAGACGGCGGCAGGCAAGCACGACCAGGCCTCCTTGGAAACCAAGATGGACATGCTCAAGAAGGAGAGTGGGGCAGAGAGGACGTGGCGGGAGAGGATGATGCAGCTGCTTTCCGATCGTGTCTGTCATGCAATGGAGGTTTGGTCATTGCTCTTCGGTTGTGGGGGCTTCTTGAGCCTAAGGCTTGATGTGAAGCCAGATGATGCGACTTTTTCCTCGTGTCTGTCACAAGTGCCCTAAACAGTGTAAGCTTCCTAGTAACTTCCGAGGAACCCTCCAAACATCTCTGGGCTAGACGCACGATTTAGGGTTTCGGGTTTGGGGTTTAGTGTCCAGTGATTGGTCCTGTTCTTAGTCGTGTTATCGGAAGGCAGGCTGTGCTTTTCATTGTAAGGTGGCGATGTTCAGTGAAGACTGACACCCAATCGCCTCCGTCCCGCTCTGGACCTAGGACTACAAACTACAAACTACTTCCTTGGTTTCCGCTTTTGTCTTATTTTCCTGGACTGCTGCATATTCAATCTGAGCCTAGGACTGTTTGTTTTTTTTGCTTCGTTTTTCGCTCATTCGGTGCGAACCCAATTCTATGTTGATGCACCTTGAACCTATCTCCAAGTGATTGCTTCACAAGTTCACCGAATGTCGATGCACCTGCCGGTGTATGTCTGTTCTCGCTGTCTGTGCTCAGTTACTGGTGGCGAGTTTGAAGACCTGACCATCATTCGACAGCATACTCATTTGGTTTCCATCCACAAGTGACTCGGCATGTATCCTGTTGAAGCAACCAGACAAGTGCACCGTTGGATTGATTCAGTTCCATGCTGCTTCACACTGCAGGTTGTTGCAGGCAGAGTGGGAGGCTCTGGACACGGACATTCGAAAGAGCCGCCTGGAGAACCTCAAAGCCAAGATGCAGGCGTTGGTGATACAGAATCAAGCGGACTTGAAAGAGTTGAACAAGGTCCAATCGTCGCCTGCAAGGCGAGGTCGCAGCAGCAAGTCCCTTCGTCCTGAGTCGAGCAGCGACAACGAGGAGGAGAGGTCTGAGAGGCTGTGCGAGGCCGAGCCATCCCCAGAGCCCGGGGCGGGCACCAAGCCAGTGTCAGAGGGCAAAGTCAAAAGGCGCAAGAAAGAAGCGCCCCTGCTCGCATTGGAGGACAACAAGGACCTTTTTGCCGGCCGCTTTGCCCCTCGGAAGGACCGTTCGGATAAGAAATCTTCTCCCCCGGCTCGAGTTCCTGAAGCCGCTAGGCTTCATCGTTATCAGGCCTGTGTTTTCTCTGTTCTGCTGCTGTTGTTGTGGTCCTGCTTCTTGTTCTCAATGTCTTCTGACGTGAGGTCTCTGCTGAGAAGGAATCCAAGACTAAGACGGACGATGTGTTGCCCTGGTTGCTGCTGGACGATGTGGAGATCAAGCGCTTTTTCACGAGCCACGCCGACTTGATGACACTCTCCGATTTGATCCGAAATGAAGACTTCGCAGATTCTCGGCATGACATGCCACACCCTTTTTACTTGCAGGCAGCAGCCACAGGGTCATTTGTCTTTGCATGTCCCACGCATTCTGCTGTTGTGCGAGAAATAGGAACTGCTTTAAGGCTTTTCTGCTTGTGGTTTGAGGATTCGCTGAGCGAGTTCCTGACCTCAGCTTTTGCGGACGATTCTGAGTCGCCTTCATGGTGCAAAGCAGAGCTTGGAGAGGAAGCCCTTAGCATCTTCAATCGCTTCTCCTTCAAAGCCAAGAAGAACTTCGACAGATTTTGTGCAGCGATGAAATCTGACAAGGTCTGGATGGCCTAGAATTTAAAAGCAATTACTCCCCAAGCAAGCAAAGCTGAGCCTGCACAGCTGCTACTTTCGATTTGACTTGGAGGCCACGCTTCTGAGTGCTGCCGCTTTCACTGCCGATGACGATGAGAAGGAAGTCGAGGAATCCCCGATGAAGCCGAAGCAGCTGTTCGGTACTCTGGAAAGCATTGAGAGATTGAACTACACCATGGGAAGCATTGTCGAAACATCCTCTGTGCTGCCTTTCACTTACTACCTCATCAGTTTTCACACTCACCAGGAGCATGTTTAATTATTGCAGACGATAGTCTAAAGCATGACTGAGTTGCAGCTTAAGTAAAAGCTTTCGGGTAAAGTCGCTGTTGACAGATTGGCTGCACTCTGGAATCCACTTCTCATGTTGGAAAAGGGCACGGACACTTCTTAGATTCTTGCTGGAAAGCTTCAAAGTCGAACTTGCCGACTCCTTCCGTGCAACCTAGGCGACCCTGGCACTGGCAGTGGCGGTGACAATGGGACTGCCGAAACTCGTCTGAGGCATATTTCGTATCTGGGTTGCTGTCTGTCGTATCCAAGTCTGCTCAACCTCTGACCATTTCTTGGAAGAAACCGAGGAGAGAAACTTCGAGGATGCCTATGCGGACGAGGACTAGGCCGGAGGTTGTCCCAGCATGGACCAGGGTGCCCAGATGATCCGAATTATGGGGGTTCACCAGGGTCGGCTTTCAGGCCCAGACACTGAAGCCACCCAGTGTCTGGGTTTCTCGTGCTTTGTTGAGCCTTCTGCCCGTAACCGTCATCCAAAAAACACCCTCTGGACCCTCATTAACAATCCGAATAGGTCACGAAATCAGGTGCTTTCACCGATCTCCGAACCAGGGATTCGGAACCCTGGGCCCCGAGTCACTGCCCCGCACGAACGCTCTTCTCCTCGAGGTCCGGGTCCCTTGTTGATTATATTTCTCAATAGCAAACTTGATAACACGTATTGGTAAGAAAACCGATGAGATAACTAACTTCCGAACGTAGTCGTCTGATTTGCAGAAGTTGACTTCGCACAATCTTCTTCGCGAACGCGCTTCTTAAAAAAACCTTACTTCAAAGATCGAAAAAACGAAAACCAAAAAAAAAAAAAAAAAAAAACAAGGTCCCTACGCGCACTCATCCAGCAAACGCGTTTCATCCATGATTCCCGATCCAGGAATGGTTTTTGCTGGGCCATGGATCAGTTTCTCCACCGGATCTGAGTTCACCCTGGTGGAGGCTTCGCATGGTAAAGTGCGGACTAAGACTGGTGGCCAGTTGTGTCGAGGCAAAAGTAGATTGGTCGCTGCAAAAGATTGGTCGCTTTGATTATGCTCAGTTCCTTGCGGTGGCCATGACATGAGCGCGGCATGCACTCGCATTGTTGTGCTGTCCTGCCTCGTTGTGGATTCGGGTTCCATGAAGCCAGACTGCACAAATGCTTGTTCATTCTATCCTGAGGCCCGGCTCGGGATGTGTATTCTAAAATTCCTCATTGCATGAACAATTCAGATCAAAGCCCTGCCCCCCCCCATTGACAGAGTAGTCTTATGCTGGCAGTCGTGGAAGTTGGCATTTTGCCAAATCGCAAACATGCTCGAACCTGTGCCGCAGCCGACGCAGTGGCAGGAGGCTCGCTCACCAAGACTGGTCGCTCCAAAGGGTCGATTTCTGGCCGAGATTTCCAGTGGTGCCTGTCCTAGTATAAAAAGGTCAAATCCCATACCCCATGATGCAGCAAACAGGCGGGTGCTTAAGCAAAACCACTTAGCCATTTCCTGGATCACGACCCATAGCCCTAAACCTTCAGCCCCAAATCAGGTAAAGGTTGTTCCGCAATAGTCTTCGCTCACGGAAACAGGTTGCAAATCATGTAGACTTCGCAGAGCACAAGCCCGCCCATACGCAGCCTTCCTCAAAGTTGTCACCCCCCAATAAGCAAGACTTAATAGTACTAATCTTCTTCTGAGAGTGTACATTCCCCAATTCCTGTTCAGAGTGCTATGCAAAACTTCTTCAGACTGTTCACCCAGCGAAAAGCAGTGCCTGCTCAGAGTGTTCAACCCCCCAATAAGCAAAGCTTCTTCAGAGTGCTGTCCCCGCAATACTGAAGAGTTCTTCAGAGTGTTCTCTCTCATTAGCACATTTTAGAGTAGCAGCAAAGCTTTTGCAGAGCATAAGCCCTTCAGATGTCCACCCCGCAATCAGTAAAGCTTTGTCGTAGCACCAGCCCTCACCGCCATTGGCCAGGTTGTTAACAATGTCTGCAAGAGACTCGTGGAGCTACTAGAGAAGCAGGATGCGAAACTGCTTCAAGTAGATGGTGCATGGCACGTGGATGAAATCTACCAAGAGACACACGACAAGGTGGCAAAGCTGTTCACCTATTTCTTGTCCGAGGATGTGACAAAGAGACAACTCGTTGAGGCTGTTCAGAAGGTGGAGAACCTCACGGATGCGGTGTTGCCCATTCCACCATTGCCTCTGCCGGTTGCCTTAGAACAGCTGGAGTCTCGACAAGAAGCAGCTCAGCAAGAATCCGCCCCAGAGGGAAGGAGGACGGAGCCGAGTCCGGACTTCAAGTGGCTGTTCCTGCAAGTGGAGGCTGATGTTTGGTCCGTTCTGCAGGCCTCCCAGAGCATGCGGTGTGTAGGGGTGAATTTGTTTGCCTCTGTACTTGTCTGTCCATCCCTGTGTGTGTGTGTGTCTATTGTGTATGCGAGGGTCCGTCTATGGGTGTTTGTCTGTGTCCAAGCCGTTTGCATGGTTCTCTTTAGAGGTTGAGCCGGACAACGCTGCCAATGGATACAGACACTATTTCACGTTTGCAGAAGCCTGGCAGCTACAAACCCCTTTTGCTTCCTGGTACAGCAAGTCTTACGACTCCGGCACTCAGCCCCTCTTGGACGCATGGCACCTGGATGATGAACATGCATTCCTGCTGCACTGAGTCCTTGTCTAGCTCTGTAAATAGTTACGTTTTGCTTCTATCCTCGTCCTTCTGCCGATGGCCGCTTGAGGTGGTACGGAGAGCCTCCTACAAGGGTGGCAAGAAGAAATGCAAGTTCAAAACCCCAGTCGATTGTGCCACCGTCCCTGGCATGATCCTGTGCCTGAGCAGTGTGTTGCAAAACAAAGGACTGACGAACCCAGCAGTGAACAAAGTTCGGAAGGTCTTTGATGTCTTCGACAAGCAGAGCAGCATGAACGAAAGCTTGGCTTTGCTTCCGGACCTCCAAGTGGAGGCACGGGAGAACATGGTTCGCATCGAGGATTGGCACTCTGCTCTGCAAAGACTGGGTCTCGGTGCACTTCTCGAGCTCACGACCAGGCTCGAAGTTGGTGAAAGTGTAAGTAGGCATTTCGCCTAATTCATGCTGTCCTGAGCTTGCAATGAGCCCTGTCAGATACTTCGCAAACGACAAAAACTTCATCACCGTCGGGAAGTGCTTGTTCTTGCTGCTGGCAGCACGGCAAAGGCCGAGCATCCGTGACTCTGCCGTAGCATCGAGAGTCACCATGAGACTCTTGCATCAATTCAGCCAGCACGTCGAGGTCAGGCTTGAGCGAGATGGATCGCCTTTGCTCTCCTCATGTCCTCACCCCACGAAGTGCTCCACGTACCACCCTTACTTGAAGCACTCCCGCTCTCAGGGGCATCCTGCTCTCAAAGACAGGCTGCTGGCCCGCTTCGGTGCCAAGTCCGGCGGATTTGCAACTAGCAAAGAGGAGCTTTCGCTACATGAGCTCGGGATCGTGTCAAACAAAAGCAGAATCGCTCAGAGAGCTTGTTCCGAATGGCTCATCCGCTACATGGCCAAGGCCTCGCAGGCCATGGCGGATGATGTGAAGTCTCAAGGCGACCTGAAGACGTTGAACTTCTGCCTGGATGCTGCCCGGGTATGCAAACAGCAGGCCGCAAGCTACTTAGGGCCCGTCGTTAGGTAGATTTTTCCCTAGCTTATCTTTCATTTGTTGATTCTGTCAAGTGCTGCCCTGGTCGGTGCCTCATGATGTGCAGGTGCTCACGTTCCAATTTCGGGTTGGAGAGTCTTCCCAAGCTGCCCTTTTGCAAGTGATGCCAGACACGGCGCCTTGCCGCGACGCCCAAACCACCCTCAAGGCCTTAGACATGGCCCTCGAGGGGGGCCTCCCGGCAAAGGGCAGGAAACTAGTGAACACCGCCAAACACCTTGTGACTTACAGACAGTCTGCGAAGCAAATTCTGCACAGCATGAAGAACGCCATCGGTGTGTACGTGCAGGATTTTTCGTTTGCAGACACTGTTCCAAGCCAGCTGTTGCGGCCGAGAGGCGACACGTGCAAGAGGTTTGAACTCACCAAGGAAGGGAAGCAGCTGCTGTCTTTCCCAGAGAACAGGAAGCGGTTTTTTCTCTTCAACACCGAGTCAGGCGAGGTCAGCCTCGACTGCCATGCGCCGATGGCGGTGGGCGGGTCGCCCCCTCTGACGCTGAGCTGGGCAGCAGACGAAGGGACGGACCTCTTCGTTGCATTTCAGTATGTGGCGAAGCAAGGATGCTTTTGCATCTTTTGGCCGGATCTTTTTCATAAGATCCACAGGAAACAAGCCGGAGCGATCGCGAGCTTGACTGAAAGCCGCCTTTTGATCAGCCGGCTCACGAAACTTTTCCGATCGAGTCGTGCCCCATGGGACACGAGCAAGTTCGGCCGACAGAGGATGGAATGCCGAACTCGCCTCATCACAGAGCTGGAAATGCGCAGTGCGAGCAGCAGTGCGCTTGAAACCTGCTGTGCCGGCTTGGCTCGCGACTTGGACGTCCCAGTTTGCGACATGTCGCCGCGACGAGCTTTACAGGAGCTCAAGAAGTGTGCAGGCAGCTCTCATTGTCAGTGCTATAGTGCTGCTCGTGCTACTATTGTTTTGTGCCGCATTCTCTAAGCCAGAATCGAATCAGTTTCATGTGCTGCAAAAAAAACCCAAATCCTGGAGGCAGCTTGCACTTCGGACAAGCAGAGTGCAAAGAGGGTCGATGGATGGCCTGGTTTGATCATGCCTCTTCCTTCGACCGTCTTTCGGCTTATTCTCCTCTGATTTTTTTCGAAGCACACAGTGTCACGCCGACGTCATGTCTTTCAGCCATGGAATAGTTTCGTCATGCACTCTCTCAGAAAACTCAGGCACGTGGAATTTGCGACTGCTGGAATCCCTGTTTGGTTGGTGGGAGCAAGGCATCAACCCGTATGATCTCCTGGGCTCCTCCTCGGCTCTGGAGTCAGCAGATGATGAGAAGGGCCAGCACAGTTACTCCATCCGTGCCTTGTACTGGGAGGCTCCTAAACTCCACCGAAACTGGCCATAATCCCACAAATCTGAGCACGTAGACTTTCTGCACGCACAGGTCCTGTCCGACTCCACGAACCAGGACAAAATGAGAAGCATGCTCTGTGCATATTCTGCTGTTCGGCTGTGGATGGGAAAAGCAGCCACTTCGCAGCATAAACTCTTGCTAAAGTTCAGGTTGAGCCGGCTGCCTGGCAGTCAGTAGACCACACCCTTTCTAGTTCTACAGAAGAATTGGTGACTGCATGCTGAGAACAAGAGCATGCAGAACGACATGAACGGCTCTGTGAAAGAGGCCATCGGTCTCGCATCCGGCGAGACTGTGAAAGGCCTGATCAGGACCTTTGTTGCTTGCGAACACGAGAGAGTTTGTTTTCCTGTGAGCAATATAAGTTGGGTTCACAGTATACGCATGAAAACCGACATGGCCAAATTTGGACTTCATATTTTCCAGCCCGTGTACTTGACACGTCTTTGCTAACGAACTTAGTAAACCACAAGAACTAACAACTCTAACCTCACAACCTTGAGCCCTGGAACTTACTCAAAGTCTAAGTCCAGATAAACACCCTCCATCATAGGTCGTATTGTCGGTTACAGATCTACAGTAGTGAGTCCGAGGTTGCGGGCTCAAAGCTAACGTATGATTGGAGCTTGTGTGGTTCCGACCATTCCTCTCTTTCGGTTTAGGATTAATTTAAGGATTTAGGTCTAAGGAAAGGGTTTAGGGTTAATTTGGTTTTGAGATCAGGATTTCGGAGGTTTATAAAGCCCTTGTTTAGGGCTTAGGGTTTGGGGTTTTTCCTCCAGGTCATTCCTTCTTTTGTTTGACCAAGCAGGAGGACCATCGCTGACTCCACGTCTCCGAAGGCTTTGCTCTACTGCAACTGTGCTCATGCGGCAGTAGATGAAACGGCGCAGGAGGTCCTCACCTTCCTGTATGACATCCTCGTGCGGTGGCTGGGTTTCGCATGTGAGATCGACTCTTACATGTGCTGCTACCCGTGGCGGTCTGTGCTCTGCCTCGAGAAGAAGCATTGGCCGGGAGTGTTGGAGCACATGAAAGAAGAATGGAAGTTCATTCTGTTCTTGGATGGCTTCAGCAAGAATTCCTCAGTCCGCCGCCTTTTCACCTTCACCGAGATGCAATGCTTCCGCGAGCTTTTCACGGAGGCTGAGCCGCTGAACTGCAGTCTCAGTATAATATAGGGTTTCTTTTTTGAGTGCTTGCTGCTCCGTTCGTAGTCAAGGGGTAACTCAACCGCCCATTCGGTGTAGCCCTATCAGGTCAATCGGCTTTGATGCGAGTCACGTGGACTCGGAACGTGTGCGGGCCTTGGCGGCGAGACTCGCAGGCTCTGACACGAAAGCCCTGCTTACGTCGCTTCCGAACGAGCTGATGTTCAACGATTTGCGAGATGCTCAGAGAAGGCATGCCAAGCACGAAATGGCCAAGCCAGTTCACCTGGCGGCCGTCAGCATTCGCTCCAGTGCAAACAGGTCGCCTTTGCAGGCAGTTGAAGTCGACAATGCAGACTGGAACAGCCACGACCAGGCCAAGGTGCTCAGATCGAATATCCTTCAAGCCTCTCGTGACCGAGACAAAAATCTCGGAATACCCCTGCAGGATTTGATTTGTGAGAAAAACCTCAGCTATGTCACCAAGCCCCACATCTATTGCCAGAGGCTGAGGCTTTTCCAGAACCTCAAGCGAAAGTTTTTTGCAGGTGATGGCCATGCCATCGATGTGGACAAGATTCTTCGAGAAGTGTGGCCTTCGAACACATTGATGCCCGGATGTTTGTGGCAGCAGGAGAGCTTCAACAGTGAGGCTGTGGTGGTTGTGTTGTCTGGCGGTCCTCATGCCGTCCGCTACATGCAGCTGAAGGTCGTCGAGGTGCCAGGCTATGACGAGTTATACGGCTTCGATGCGGGCAAGCTGCAAGTGCACGAGACGCTGGACTTCCACATGTGCTTCGGGAAGCTCTCTATGCCGCAGCCGGTGGCATCAGAGGAGCATGGTTTGTTGGTGAGGCCTCTGGAATGGCATTCCCCCGGCGAGTTCATGTGCCGACACACCATCAGCCAGGTGCGAGCCGGTGTGTTGACGGAGTATGGCAACAGTGTGGGATTGAACCTCGGCAAGGTGAACCAAAGAAGCCGTGTGGAGCAAATCATGCGGCATCACCAGATGCCCGAGGACCTCATCAAAGATACCCTCGACACTATTCCGGTTAAAGAGCGGAAGAAGAAGGCCCGGTCGCTTGCTCTCCGTGCAGTTGCAATGTGTTTGTGTATTCTTGTTGTAAATTTGCACGTGCACGAGTCATACAGCAATGAACTGAAGTCCTTACTATCCTATGTGCGGACATGAAGATAAAGTGGACCCAGCGCCTAACAACTCATTGGATAAAGTCTGAGGCCTGTAGGGGTTTCTTCTGGATTACATAAAGAAACAGTCGGAGGCGGTCAAGGTTAGGGACTTGATATCTTGATGCTGATCTAAGGTTTTTTCCCAAGCAGCATCTGAGCTTTTGAGAATTGAACTGGGCTTGGAGTCTACGGGCCAGCAGGGTCATTATGCTTATGCGACGGTTCCTATGATAGTTACTGCTGGTTCGTTTGCTTTCCGGTACCGCCCGGTTTGCCTAGGTTTGTTTTGGGGTTTAAGGCCTAGTGCTGTAGGGATTGATGGTGAGTAAAAATGCATGGATGGAAACGACGAGTACGGATCCGTAGGGTTAAAGTCATGTTTTCGACGGATTTCTGGTATTTTTGGGTTACAGGTGAATGGAGTATTAAACTAAATCAAGCTAGGATTGAGGATTGCCCGACTTTGCTTTGGACAATATGGATGTGACGGAGACATAGCTATTCGTTCTGCCCCCTGCCCGGGTTGAAGTTATGGTTTCTTCATGAGACAGAGGAGCCGGATGACGATGCCACGGGCGACGTTTCGGATGACGAGGCCGAGGAAGCTGAGCTTTACGAGGCCATGAACTACAACATCGAGGAGGATGACGATGCTGATGCAGCAGAACAGGGCGGCGAGCCTGATGCAGGCCAGCAAGACAGCAGGCCAGCCGATGATGTGCGAGCACCCCAACACGACGAGCAACAGGCAAGTGATGATGTACCCATGGGACATGCTGTGCCAGAGGACAGACAGGCAACTCGATTGTGTTGTGGTTTTCCTGATTCTATGTGTGCTTTTTTGTAATAAATTTCAAGTCCTAGGTCGTCGTCTCTTGTCACCCTGACCTTACTGCCCCAGCCCTCAACATCAGGAGAGAAGAGCTGGTGGTATCCACGATCGCAAGGAGCCGCACAGCTACGATTTGCCACAACACCAGTTGGCGCCGGGAACCCGTGCTTATATTGGCCGTCCGGAAGATTGTTGCCCATTTGTGCAAGTGAAGATTCTTCCCGACGGGTTGAGGTATGGCAACAAGCGTTCCCGTGCCTTTTCGTTTGTTCCTGCAGCCTCGACTCCGTACAGTCGTGGTGTGACACGCTCTTTTCAGCAAGCTTGCTTGGCGGCCACAACTTGGTCGTTTCAATTTTTTAATGCTCTGCCTGAAGAGAAGCAACGTGAGGTGCGAGAGAAATTCCCGCCAGTCAGCCTGCCGGAAGAGGCAGGCGAAAACAAGAGAGAGGCTGCCTCAGAGCCAGCCTCCAGTTCTGCCAAGAGGGCGAGGGCCAACTGAAAGCGGACTGGCGCTTTCGAAGAAAAAAGGGCGGATCGTCATACCGCTGAAGGCTCTGGTGCAAGGGCCCCAGCAAATTCTGAGTTCACCTTGATCGCAAAGCTCATTCATCATGCAACCCTGAAATCCCACTAAAAAAGCATGAAAACCGATTATGCTTGGAGATTGGGCGGCGCTCCGTTAGAGGAATGGGGTTCTGTGCACATTTTCAAGTTAGCACGTCTCTTAGCATCTTCCGTGCTGAAGCAAAAATGTGTGTCGGAATGGGGTTTTGTGCACATTTTCAAGTTAGCACGTCTCTTAGCATCTTCCGTGCTGAAGCAAAAATGTGTGTCGGAATGGGGTTCTGTGCACATTTTCAAGTTAGCACGTCTCTTAGCATCTTCCGTGCTGAAGCAAAATGTTTGTCGGAATGGGGTTCTGTGCACATTTTCAAGTTAGCACGTCTCTTGGCATCTTCCGTGCTTAAGCAAAAATGTGTGTCGGAATGGGGTTCTGTGCACACTTTCAAGTTAGCACGTCTCTTATCATCTTCCGTGCTGAAGCAAAAATGTGTGTCGGAATGGGGTTCTGTGCACATTTTCAAGTTAGCACGTCTCTTAGCATCTTCCGTGCTGAAGCAAAAATGTGTGTCGGAATGGGGTTCTGTGCACATTTTCAAGTTAGCACGTCTCTTAGCATCTTCCGTGCTGAAGCAAAAATGTGTGTCGGAATGGGGTTCTGTGCACATTTTCAAGTTAGCACTTCTCTTATCATCTTCCGTGCTTAAGCAAAAATGTGTGTCGGAATGGGGTTCTGTGCACATTTTCAAGTTAGCACGTCTCTTAGCATCTTCCGTGCTGAAGCAAAAATGTGTGTCGGAATGGGGTTCTGTGCACATTTTCAAGTTAGCACGTCTCTTGGCATCTTCCGTGCTTAAGCAAAAATGTGTGTCGGAATGGGGTTCTGTGCACATTTTCAAGTTAGCACGTCTCTTAGCATCTTCCGTGCTGAAGCAAAAATGTGTGTCGGAATGGGGTTCTGTGCACATTTTCAAGTTAGCACGTCTCTTAGCATCTTCCGTGCTTAAGCAAAAATGTGTGTCGGAATGGGGTTCTGTGCACATTTTCAAGTTAGCACGTCTCTTAGCATCTTCCGTGCTGAAGCAAAAATGTGTGTCGGAATGGGGTTCTGTGCACATTTTCAAGTTAGCACGTCTCTTAGCATCTTCCGTGCTGAAGCAAAAATGTGTGTCGGAATGGGGTTCTGTGCACATTTTCAAGTTAGCACGTCTCTTAGCATCTTCCGTGCTGAAGCAAAAATGTGTGTCGGAATGGGGTTCTGTGCACATTTTCAAGTTAGCACGTCTCTTACCATCTTCCGTGCTGAAGCAAAAATGTGTGTCGGAATGGGGTTCTGTGCACATTTTCAAGTTAGCACGTCTCTTAGCATCTTCCGTGCTGAAGCAAAAATGTGTGTCCGAATGGGGTTCTGTGCACATTTTCAAGTTAGCACGTCTCTTAGCATCTTCCGTGCTGAAGCAAAAATGTGTGTCGGAATGGGGTTCTGTGCACATTTTCAAGTTAGCACGTCTCTTAGCATCTTCCGTGCTGAAGCAAAAATGTGTGTCGGAATGGGGTTCTGTGCACATTTTCAAGTTAGCACGTCTCTTAGCATCTTCCGTGCTGAAGCAAAAATGTGTGTCGGAATGGGGTTCTGTGCACATTTTCAAGTTAGCACGTCTCTTAGCATCTTCCGTGCTGAAGCAAAAATGTGTGTCGGAATGGGGTTCTGTGCACATTTTCAAGTTAGCACGTCTCTTAGCATCTTCCGTGCTGAAGCAAAAATGTGTGTCGGAATGGGGTTCTGTGCACATTTTCAAGTTAGCACGTCTCTTAGCATCTTCCGTGCTGAAGCAAAAATGTGTGTCGGAATGGGGTTCTGTGCACATTTTCAAGTTAACACGTCTCTTAGCATCTTCCGTGCTGAACAAAAAATGTGTGTCGGAATGGGGTTCTGTGCACATTTTCAAGTTAGCACGTCTCTTAGCATCTTCCGTGCTGAAGCAAAAATGTGTGTCGGAATGGGGTTCTGTGCACATTTTCAAGTTAGCACGTCTCTTAGCATCTTCCGTGCTAAGCAAAAATGTGTGTCGGAATGGGGTTTTGTGCACATTTTCAAGTTAGCACGTCTCTTAGCATCTTCCGTGCTGAAGCAAAAATGTGTGTCGGAATGGGGTTCTGTGCACATTTTCAAGTTAGCACGTCTCTTAGCAT